ACTCCGTATCAAGGAGGCGTTTTCTTTCTTGATATAAACTTTTCAGTAGACTATCCAATTAAACAGGCAATGTTTAAATTTACCACGAAAATATTTCATCCAAATGTATTTCCAAATGGTAATATATGCATGGAAATTCACGGGAATCAACGCACTCTCACAATCTCCAAGCTATTAATATCAATTTGTTCCCTGTTGGACGATCCAAATACGGATGATCCAGCTAATCCTGAAGCTGCACATCTTTATCGATTCAATCGTGATAAATATAACAAAATTGCACGTCAATGGACACGGAAGTATGCTATGTGACGTTTCGAGAATTTCTCGGCGAAAAATGTACTTCATTCGGTTATTTTAAGGCTTATTTTCTTTTTGGAATAAACTGCCTATGCTGATCATTTCGTCCGGCGCATTGTGCTGAAGGTGGGTGGGGGTGACCGCTTTGCAGTAGAATTGTGGGAGCGAGAAACGAAAAATCATTCTCAAAACCTGGAATCACCTGCCTTGAGAGTGGGAACACGGCAGTAACTCAGCATTTTTTAGTCCGTTGAACCCTAGAGAATACCAATATTTGATACAGAATCGAACTTTCTATATAGCCCAGTCAGTGAGAGATTCAATCTGGGACTCGGAGAGACTATCAGCAAGAACAACTCGAGGGAATAAGTGTCGGGTGGCTGCGGGTGTTCGTTTTGTCTTCCGGAGACACTACAACGACACTTCACGCCTACATCCATCTATCATCACAAAAGATTATGCTACATATATTCGGTACTATCATTTTGTACCTAATATTCGACCAGAGAGAAGTTGATCCGTGCGGGTCTGCGTGAGTCTGTGGCTACGACTATGGGTGTTGATTAGCTACAAGGGTTCACTTACATGGTAACCACATCCACACCCACACCCACATATTCGACGTCTAAAGATGCGAATTCTCATTATATTCAAAGAAATTCACTTAACCACTGCGGCACCGAAGTATCCTGTCATCGGAATATTTGCCGATTTGATGACTACATTTTATAAAACACGACACATTGTACTTATTGAAAGTTTAGTAAAATTAGAAATGCCCGAAAATCTTATCCATTCTATCTACGAACGCTTAGTAAGGCGATCAATGAATATACAATACGGCAATCATAGCATACGATTAGGGAAGGGAAGAAGGGTGATTTCCCCTTCCTAAATTTTATTTTTTGCGTTCTGTGCTTCTCTCTGAAAATTTTATTTCTTGAATACTTCAGATTTTCAATCATCCGTTAGGATATCTACTATGTAAAAGCGAAGTTCTTTTTGCAACTGTTTACCATGAAGCCAGTTATTTTCTCTTTGGTCAGATTTAATTGCTCTTTGAATCTTCTACTGTCTCTTTAAATCTTTCAGTTTCTCTTTCAATCTTCTATTTTCTCGTTAGATATTTCAGTTTCTCTTTGAATCTGCTAGTGTCTCTTTAGATTTTCAACTTTCTCTTCGAATCTGTTAGTTTCTCTTTAACTTTAGAAGACTTTCTCCCTGAGATTTTCCCCCTCCTAGCAAAAACAAATGAAAGCTATGACGGCAATGCCTTATCTCGAAAGATAAACATTAATGGAGGAACTCCATAAGGATCTGTACTGTTAACAACATTATTTAGATTACATCTACACTTTCTACTAAATGATTTCAAAAGTTTTAGCTTTCATCTATTTGCAGACTACTTAGTCCTGCTGCTAAAACGAACTATTGAAAATAGGCTATCAGAAAATATAAGTTTCATAAAACAACAACCTAAAATTATAACGGCAGTGTTGGAAAAATATTCTAATAATATTCTAATACCTGTAAATGTGAACACAACAAAAGCTTTGCTATTCCATGCTGCAATAGCACTCGAACATCCAATCATAACCTATGAAAATATGACAATTGAATTTCTATCTATGTTCAAGTATGTAGGAATAGAAATTAGAACCAAATTAGGTTGGAGAATTTTTCTGCAAGCACGTATACCTAAAATAGAAAACATATATTGCAGACTACGTCAATTATGCAACACTATTTTCAAGAAGGTGATAAAAATTAAACGTATGTTCTCCCTCTCATTTGTCCTTCCTCCCTTTACATGGATCCTCATTTTATGCTTCTTCCCCAATGAAAAACAAAAAGAAGAAATTGAACATCTATATACTACAGAACTCAAAATAATATACTCTCTATGGGGACAGAATGATGATACCACATTACTTTACAAAAAGATACCTACGGGTGACGTCAAATTGATCGTTAGTAAGAAAAATCGTCGAGTTGCGAAAAAAAGAACACATTCAAAAACAGCTATCACAGTGCTTACTAAAGAGTAGAGTGAGTAAAAGTAAGTGTAGTCAAAAGATGCAGAAAAAAAATCAACATATAATAATAAAATTTTTGTCCGACCTTCATTCTATAAAGCGAAAGAGACGAAAAAAAAGATAAAAAAACACATAAGTCACATGAAAATGATCCAAGATCTCAACATCACCAATGCGTACGAAACATGATACATACACATTTTTGACTTTCGCAAAGCTTTTCTTCGAACCATTGAATTATACAAAAGAAAGAAACTTTCATTACAAGCATTGATTCACTCATTTCACATTTTCTCTCTTGTGTAGCATATGTTTCTGGTAAGCATTATCATATTTTAATCAAACTAAATAGCATAACTGAATATTCAAATTAGCTTTGTTCTACTTCACTCCTATTGCTTATTTTCTTTCAGATTATAACTATAAATATAGTCACAGTATAAACATCATATTCGACAACAACTTTGACTAATCAACCAAAATCATTCAAGATACAAATGAGATATTGTTTACAATTCAAACAACAATCATTCTGATGCTAAAAAATTAAACAAATTCCAAACTGTTATATCAAACAAAGAATCGGTTCGTCATAGAAATGTTTTGAAAAAAAGACATTGGTATGAAAAGTAGTCAGTAAGGTTTTAGGGAAGTAATGAACAGTAAAGAGTATATTTTAATTTATGTATTACTGTGAGAATTCTAATACCGATCAAATATAGATAACGAAAACAAGGCGATCATGTATCATTTCTCTCGTTTCTTAATTATCAATGATAAGCCATCTAAATATTCTATAACATTTCAAGCACCATCATAATATCTTTCACCACGATTATCTATACTAAGATGAATAGCAATTATTTTAGCTTGCTTTGATCTACTCAGTAAACTTGCAGTAGATTGAGCATACATGTGATGAAACCGATTCTCTTCTCCTAGTAGAAATTTAATCAATGATCAAATAATTGGATGATTAATTTGTAATCGACAGTTAAAACGACTATAAAATTCTACATGAAATATTAGAAAATGATATTTTTAGTAAGATAAAAGAAAAAAATTATCTTTCGCATTATTATTGATCCTTATAATAAGATTACATACACACAATTGAGATATATATGAAATTTTACAAGTCATTGTTCTTGAAAATATTCTAATAAATCTTGTAGCGTGTCCTTCACCCTTTTACCAGATATTAGTCATTATCATTATTAATGATTAAAATTCTACACTAGTAGAATTATAAGAAAAGCAGCAATGAGCCATACATGGTTATAGTCACCATTTACTATAGATATCATTTTTTCTATTTTTTTCTCATTTCGCTCTTCTTTCGTTTCAATATTTCTCCCTTAAATATTTTTCTCTTCTTCTTTTTCTCCATTTTCTCTTTCGATATTTTCCAGAACATTCAACGAGTCATTTTCATCTATGTTTGAACAAGTGTATAATTAACGACAACATCAATTCCAACGAGTGAATTCTAAACAACCAATGCACAACTAGTCCAACACATCCACCCATCCCTATCCTCATCTGTTCTCGGCAGAAAAGTGCCTTGAAGATCAACATGGTGTTAGCTAGACATCCATTCGTACAATTTTACTAGCAATTGAAGTAAATATATCAAGATTATTGAACTATGTGGGTAGTAATTTATTTAGAATGATAACATCAATACTTTGAGATCAATTGATGTACCGTGAAAATAGTAATGAAGATTTCAGAAATTCAAATCATGTGGAAAAATCTAACTACGAACTTTTAAATGTAACATTTATTTCTTATTCAATTGTAACCTTTTCTGTTGTACATGGAACAAAGTTTTCGGGCGAATACATTGCTTCAGCTTTTGCTGGTGGAATGATAAATGTTCCAGCACATGTTGCACGCATTATATAACTCCATTCATAAACGCCAGGCCATAATAATGATCGAAATGCTTCGGCACGTTCATCTCTTAAGTTTTCATGTTCAGTCCAATCGATAGTTGAAAATGGTCGATATTTATTATAATGATAATTTCTTTTTGAACTTGTTACTGATGAGTTTCTATCATCCATCAAAATACCTTTTAATTTAGTATTTAATGGTTCACAACCGGCTGGTAAATAATCAATTAATGCTATATGATATCGTCGTTGTGTTGTTGCCATTGTTAATGTGACTCTGATTATTTTCTGGAGTTTGAATTTCCAAGTTCCATCTGATTGTTTTTCAACATGTGATGGATCATCGATAGCTGTGTATGTTCGTTCAATTTTAAAACCATAGTTAACTTCATTTAATTGTAGACTTGACGGTGCATAATTCATTGCAATACGATAATATAATCGACCATTACCATGTTTTTGCATGATTAGATTCTTATCATTATTACCCATGTTGAATAATGATGATGGCGACAGGATTGCTTTCATCGGAATATTTATTGTATATGTATTTGTCGTTCGACCTGTATATGAAGAAAAGAAATCAGAATACATGATATATCTTGAAATCATAATATTATATGTAGACATTTACAACTAGTAGATAAACAGACTAATTGATCTACGTAGAAAAGCCAAGATCGAGAAAACTATGTTTCATTTCGATGCCGATTCTACGAAAATACTGCTGTATGGATATGGCAGCAGATTGATCAGTTTTTCTTTTGATTCAGTCTTACCTTTATATTGATGTTGACCACAATAATCAATGTCATACCAAATATTAGCAACGAAATCTGGTGTATCTTTCTCTTTGATATGAAAATATTTATCTAAAGCAACTGATACAAAACAATTTTCCTGTGTTGATTTCCATGCACTTTTCACTTTATTTGCTTGTAAACCTTTACATAATTTAGTACAAAGAGTAGAATTTGGATCAATGCATAATAATGATTCTAATAAAATGGCATCCGTTCTTTGATTTGAATGTAACATCACTAATTGACCATCATCACCATATGATGTGATAAAATTCGCTGTTTCACTTGTTTCGCTTACTTTACCTTTTAAGTATTTGTATATTAGTTCAATTGTTTGATGATTATTATGTATCTTCTCGGCAGACAATGCAACTAATAGCCATCCTAATGCTTCTAAACTAAGTTTTTCGAATCCACTTCGTTGAAATAAGTGTAAAGCTTGATCCGTCACATTTTGAAGAAATTTCGCCCGAACGTATAATGCATAACTCATTAAACTAAATCGAGTTTGTTCCGACCAATATTTACTGAATGATAATTGATCGATTTCAGATTCAATATTTTCAAGGTATTTTAGCGCATTTTTCAGCATATTCTAGTCAACATCAAATACCTTCAAAGTTATAGAACATATTTGCCATTGAAAAGTTATTTATAATAAAGTCTCAAGTAGAATTCTAAACTAAACTGGAATAAAATTCTTACATTTTTATTCGCTATAACAGCTAAACAATGTGCAACATGTACACTCATATATGGATCAGCATGAGAATCCTTTCGATTGGTCCAATAACCAAATCCACCATTTGGATACTGACGACCTTTCAATTTATTTATATCTGATTCTAATTTAGTTTTCAATATTGATATACCAGGTAGTTCTTTACAATAAAATGCTTGTAACACATCCCATAGTGATTGTATACCTAATAATCTTGAACTTAATTGTTCTGTACATTCATCCGGATATGTATAAAGTGAAATAAGTGCATCAGTTAATGATGCTAATGCTGTTGAACTTGTTGTTATTGATAATCCACCGTATTGTGAAAGAACATTCTTTGGTGACTTTATTGGTTGAAAAACGACTTCTTCATATGTATCGCCATAGGTTGCAAATGCTTCAGACGTGGCTGGTGTAAATACGGGTAAACTTAGTTCAATTGCATCATGAAATGATACAGATGTTTTATTTCTGGGAGTACTGATTATGAACTGACATCGAGCTGTACCAGAATGAATAGTTGTTACTGGAAATATAAGAGCAGCTCGTTTACTTGGTGGTAGTACAATTGAGTAGCCAACTTCTGGTCTATTTGTTTGGGCTGTCAACAATTTAGCATTGCTTGCTCTCAAACCAGCATGTAATAGTAATGATAGACCAGTTTGATTTTGTAAAATAACTGAAAAATATGCCATATCTCCATAATTCAAAAATCTTGGTAATGAAGGCCGAATCATAATTGGTAGTTGTACAGAAAATGGCATTTCACCTAAACCATATTGTCTATCATTCGTTGCTAGTGCCCATACACGGTAGCGTGTTAGATTGTCAGGTAATTTAACCTCAATTGAAACATGTCCCGATGAATCAGTGATTGATGACGGTGTCCAACATGCGAGTGGATTGGAGTTCGATCGAACAGCTAATTTTTGTTCAGCACCACGAGCTGACCTGAACTTACCACGCATTGGACCACCACCACCACCCTCTTCGTCATCGCTTAAGTAGAGACTAGCTTTTATTTCTTTCTTTAGTTGTTCTATATGTTGTGCATTGAATATCAAACACTGCTTTCTACTATGGTGTTGTGCGATATTTTTTGATCGACTAGGATAAAATATATCTAACTGACTATCTAATTTGTGATCAGTTAATGACAAGATTGCTTCATCAACAACAATTAAACAAACTTCTGCTTTTTTACAGGTGAATTATCTACATATTGTTTGATGTCGACATCTATATGCATGATCGATGATGGTGTATAAATTTTATTTGGTTCTTTTGTAGTAATCAAAACATTTAGTTTATAAATATCTCTTGATACTTCTACTGTTACTGAACCAGTGACGATTGCTGGACGACGTGGAGAATGAGTCAGTTCCATTACTCTTGGGATTGAGCCCGTTAGTTCAGCGTAAGCTGTAAAATTTGGTATCCAATCTTTTGATATTTTAAATTCGACAGTTGTTGAATCTTTTCCAGATTCTATCTGAAATCGTATTGGTTGTGAGACTTGACCATCACAGCCCAGTACAAGCAAACCATTAGCTGGACTAAACGGGGCTAGGATTAGTAATTCACATAGGTCATCCGGTTGATAAATTTTTGCGTTCGGAATAATTTTCAATGAGTCAATTCGAAGGCGACTATGTAACTTCACTTCTTCTATTTTTTTTTCGTAACCATCATACACATAAAATTTTTTATAGTAACTCATAGCTAATCGTCCTTGTTCATCGTTGACACTGTATGATATATTGTATCTACCCCCTAATATCCAATAGAAGAGAAATAGTGTTAAGAAAAAAGAAGCACATTGATCATTTCTTTAATTTAGAATCGCATTCACTTTATCCTTAACTCCTGGTAATCGAGTACTTTCTATTTAGTTGATTGGTAGTTTATCTCTAAGTAAAAAAAGGTGAAACAGTTTTCTGTTAGTCTATTGACTTATTTTTCTTCTCTTTAACTAGAATAAGGAGAGTATCAATATGAGTTAAATTCTAACTGTTTTTCGTTAATTTTGCTCTAACCTACTACAAGTTTTCTGATGACTTTGTATGACGTAAGTTTGTGTGGTGTGGATCCTTGGAAATGATATCTGAGTCTTTCATTAAAGGCTTTTCAAAGAAAATGGCTTGACGCTGAGTCTAATGACTGCAGAAATTCAAGCGCTATCGATTATTATTATATTCTAATCGAATGGTGATCTGAATGAATTGGAGCATACATTTTACTAATATCCAGTTCTTCAAGAGATGCAATGTTTGATAATTTAGTTTTGACTGCAATGGGTCAAAATGATTGTAGAAACCTATATCATAGGTGTCTCCATTACGTCTTGTTCTGTATCAATCATTCGTAATATTGAGCTAATTGATGATGACAATCGAATGTTTATATATTGATAGTATGAAATAACATCGGTTAGTGCCCATTTATACTTTTTTGAAAATAATAGCAGAAATTTCTCTAAAGTTCTCGAACTAAAACCACACATCCCATGTCGTGAGAATCACCGCGATTTTCGCGATTTTCTAAAAATTTGGCGTAAAATCGTGATTTACCGTATTTCTTCAAAAGATCGACGATTATATCAGATTTTATCGCGATTATGGGAGAAGAGCTGATTTTCAAAAATCATTGATAAATCATGACAATTATTCATTCACCGTTTTGTTATGAACACACAAGGGTATATAAACAACGCCGTTCAATGCATAACAAATAAGTTTTCGAAATATACTTTTCTGATAAATTATTTCTTGGTTATTTTTAATCAAGGAAATGCCAATCCCGATCCATGATCTGGAGAGGACTACACTAAAGCGGTCTGATAAGAATTGGACCAGCTCGAGATCGGACAGATCGCACGATCTAATCGGCTTGGATCTTGAGAACAAAAAAAATTGAATTAAGGCCACCCCCCCCCCCTCAAAAAAAGTCAATTTTCGTAAGAACTGTCAAAATTGAGATAAATACATAGGAAAATAGCCCGTCGTCTGCTCTTTCAAAATCAATAAAAATTTTTCCTAAAACCTCCATTTTTTCCCGAAATATTCCAGAATTTCAGAGAACCAGTTTTTGAAAAACCAGCGGTTTTTTGAAATATCCAGAAATGTTTTTCGTTTTTTCTCGATTTATGATTTTTGGATTTTGGTACAAGGATTTCTTAGTCCGGGTCCGTCCAACATATTTAAATTTTTTTTTTGTTTGAAAGAGCGCGTCGAGATGCAGATCACTACAGAGTCCTTTTTTTAATTAAGCTTTGTTTTTTATTATATATAAAGACACTTATGTGACTGGACACCCATTTTTGGGGCGTTTTTTGAGCCATTGGACTTGTGATCTCCTTTCTCCGCTAAAAAAGTAAGAATCTCAAAAAAAGAACTCTGTAGTGCTCTGCATCCTGATATGCTCTTTCTAACAAAAAAAAAATTTAAATACGTTAGACGGGTCCGGGCTGAGAAATCCTTGTACCAAAATGACCTATTTTTGACCCTTGTTTGGTGAATATCTCAGTCAAACATCAGGATATCGAGCTGAAAATTTTATCACAGCCTCCTCACATCAGCCCCAACATATGCTCCAAATTTCAGCCCATTTGAACATACCTGGGCTGAGATCGATTTT